TGTACAGAGAAACTACCTACAAGCTCTCCTTCATCTTCATTGCAACTTCGTGTGATGGGTATGAAGACCTTGACTGTACAGATTGGGACACTGAGGCACAGAGAGATGAAGCAACTGGCCCAAGGCTCCCTGACTGGTGAATGGAGTCTGCCTGACTGTAGGGCTGGGGCTGCCTCCCACTGCCTGTTCCCCAGGAAGGGCAGGGAGCAGCCCCAGGAGGGAGGATGTTCTCTCTCTCCAAGCACTTCTCACCCAGCGGGCCCTGTCTGGGTGTGTGCAGCTCCTGGCCCTGGGGCTGAGGTTGCCGTGGTTTCAGGTCTTGCCTGGCCCTCTCCAGCGCATTCCTCACTAACGGACCAGGGCTAGAAGTGGGTGTGTAAAGGCTTTCTTAGACACCCTCAGCTTCTCCTCCCATTTGCAGAATCCAGCAGGAGTTAGTCCTGGCCAGCCAAAATAGCAAGTGACAAGACTGATGCCAGTGGCGAGGGGTGGGGGTGGGGTAGCAGAGTGCTGTGGCACAGCCTGTCCTGGAGCCTGAGTGGGGTACAAGGGACTTAAGTTGCTCCCCTTCCTCTCCTTTCTTCTCCACTTTGAGAGCAAGGCCTGTACTCTTCACCCTGAGCTACAGCTAGAGATAGCTGTGGTCGGAGGGGCGAGTGCTGCCTGCCAGCATTTAAGAAGCCAAAGGAGGCAGGGGGAAGAGAGGGACAGGAGTGGGGAGGTCCTGGTTCTCCTCTTAAGCTATTTCTCTGGTGCCTTTCTCATACCCCCAACTCACACTTACTTGGGAGAGAGATAGGGGAGTATCTTCCCACTGTCCAACATTTGGAAGCAAACTAGCTTGATTGACATTGAATAACAACACTTAAATAACACTTGATTGACACTTGCACCTCAGCCTCTGTTCCATCATCCTAAAATGAGGACAGAGATCCAGTCCCTTAAGCTTTGGAAGGCCTAAATGGGTGGGCAAATTGTCATTACACATGACCCGCCTGCACCCCGAGCCCTTCCCTATCCATCCCAAGGCCTAGATGTGTCTGAGCAGGCCTGACAGCAGAGACTGGGGTGTGGGCAGGGGCACTATAACATGGCAGCTGAGAGGACCCTTTGGACTCACTAGCCCTCTCTGCAAAGACTGACCCAGGTAGGCACTCAGTCCCCAAGAGGACCATTCAGACCCCAACCCAAGCCCAAGGAGAGAATCACTAGACTCCTGGGCTGTGCTGAGGATCAGTGAGGCAAGAGATGCCCAGGGCAACTGAGAATCCTTCCATGGGATGGTGAGGAGACACTTTTCTTCCTTGGCAGGGGAGGCTCCCAGCTCTGCTGGTTCATCTTAGAAGCTGGTGGGCTGGGCTTGCATCCCTCAATCGGCAGTCTCCATGGAGACTAGGGGGAGTCAGGGGCAGTCCCACCTGGGATGCTGGCATGAGGCAGCTCTGAGCCTGCATCCTATGGCCTCTCCAGCCTCTGGGCTGCTTCCTCCAGCCTCTACAAGCCACCCCCTTTCAGGAGACTGCATATCACAGGCCTTCCCTGCTCTCCATGCAGGGATGATTTTAAGGATGACAGGAATGGAGAGAAAGGGCTTTGGGAACCAAAGAGCCCTTCAAATATAGGGACAGTCATACCACTGTTGCCATTGAATAAGTAGTATTTATTCTCAGCCCAACACAGGAAGTGAAAATGGAAGCAAGATCATCTCTCCGGACCTGAGACCCCACCCCACTTCCTTCTGTGAGAGCCACAAGGTGCCTAACCGACAGCCCAGCTCCCCAGGGCTCCAGACAGACAGACCAAAGTGTCCTGGAAGTGCACATAAATGCAACAGCCACTAGAACTGTGAGAAAATAAATTTGTTTTTTCACAGCAATTTGGCCATTTATTCACATATATTGGTATACATTTCTTCAGAGTATGTTTGACTTTTGTATTTCTGCTCTATCTGTAGTTATACCTTCTTTTAAAATTTTTGATAGTAAATCTTTTATTAAAATTTCATGGAGTGGCTATAAGGAAAACAGTGTTTAGAAAAGCTCCTAGGGGAGATTATAATTTTTAAAAAAAGAAGCACTGTTGTACTTTACAGTCAATTTCATTAGACCACTACCTAAATCAGTAGTTTCACTTTGCTTTTGATGTTATTACTATCTTTTGCTTCATTTTTCACATATTTTTCACTTATAAAATCTCCTCCACTTTATTTTCTTGGGTTTAGCCATCTTACTCTTTTTCTATAGTTTTAGGTCAATTATTAGCTCATGTATTTTCACTCTTTCTTTTCTGTAAATAACCCTTTTGGGCCACAAATTTTCCTCTTGGTGTCTCACTGTACATCCTTAATTTTCACATATTTTATTGTATTGCCATCTGATTTTAAGAATATTTTAATTTTGATTTGTTTTGGTCCATAATTATTAACAGGTGTGATTTAAAATTTTTAACTGTATGTGCTTTTTCAAAAATTATTTTTGTCATTGATGTCAAAACTAATTGCACTGTGACCTGAGAACATGATCTTTCTGATATTATTTCTTTGAATTTTATTGAGACTTGTTTTAATATGTGACTGGATAGAGGATTCTTACAAGCCCATTAGACCAAATGTATTGAGTTGGTGAAATCTCCTATGTTTTAGGTAATACTTTTCTTTTTGACAGACATGTGTAAATTTCTCAGTGTAACAGTGAATTTGACAACTTTCTCCTTATCATTTATCATTTTTACTTTCTTAGGTACATGCCAGCTTGTAATTTTTATGGTTTTCTGGAAAATTAAGTCTTTCATTAGGAACTTACCCTATTTAACCCTCATATGGTTTTTCTGTGTTGAAGATTCCAGCCTTTTAGTTTGCCCAGAATCTCTGACATATCTTTCTTATTCTTTTACAGTTAACTTTTTCATATCCTATGTATTAGGTGTGTCTCCTTCATAAAGTATATATTATTACCATACAAAAAAGGAAACAATGTGCCAAGCACTGTCTTTCGTAAGTCAAGTCCATTTATGTTGTGGAGGTCATGAAAATGCACCACTCAGATTTCTGATGGCAAGAAGTATAACTGTGGGGAGGATGCTCTGGGGGCCCATCACCTACCACCACAATCCACCCCATATTCACACAGAGGCAACACCCCTGCTGCCAGCCAGGAACTGAGCCCACAGGGGCACTGATGCAGGCCCAGGCCTAGAAGAGCCTAGGCTCCTTTGATGGCTCCCCAGTGCGCATGGTTAAAATCTTCTTGCAGCTTTCTACCCTCTGAGATGCCACACCCAACCCTACTTCATTCTCTCCAACCTTTAAAATAATTATCTCATGCTCGCTTCAGCAGCACATATACTAAAATTGGAACGATACAGAGAAGATTAGCATGGCTCCTGCGCAAGGATGACACACAAATTCATGAAGCATATCAGGGCTTTTAGCAATAAAAAAAAATTCTCTGTATTGGTGATTGTCCTTGTGATTATCAGTATATATCTACGTTGTTAAAGGTATTTACAGTACTTGGTGGATTTTTCAACTCCTCTGTGCACCCTTGTTCTTGGAACTCCACTCCTGTCATCTTAGTTTCCTTCATCCTGAAATATATTCTTAAGTACTTCTTTCACCAACATTGTGTGAGTGATAAACTTACTAAGCTTTGTACATCAGAATATACCTCTGCTTTGTGCTCACTGCTGAGTAACAAGGCAGTGAGAAATAGGATTCTATGTGGACAGTTCATTTCCAAGTTCGTCCTGGAAGTTCTGTGATTTTACTATGGCTGTGTGTGGGCTCATGTTTTTGGGATATGATGTCTCATTTCCACCTTCATTAATGATCTCTCCACAGAAGTTTTGCTTTTGGGACCATGGATATGATGTCTCATTTCCACCTTCATTAATGATCTCTCCACAGAAGTTTTGCTTTTGGGACCATTCCACAAAGCTTTAATGTATGTTCTAAATTAGCTTCCCAGAGTGTTAGCATAATTTTATTCCTTTACAATCTTATCTCTGTAACAGACACTCCAAAGCCTTGAAGAAAAGCAAAGAGCCTTATCACCTTATGTCTCCATGCTCGCTACCCACAAGAGCATCCAAGACATGGAAGGAAGGAAAGGAAGGAAGGGCTGGTTTCCCTTTCTTCCTCAGTGTAACTTGCTCTGCACCCCCAATTGAATTCAAGCAATGTCACCCACACACCTGGTTGCACTGCAACTATTCTGGTTACCTGGGACTCTACTCCTATCTCTCTCTCCCCTCACTATAGGGCAGAGCCCCAGGGCATTCAAGCCCTGGCATGAATGGATCCCACTCCGAAGCCATTCCCTCCAGCCCCTTGCCCCCTTCTGCCATTGCCTGTCCTATTGACGATGAGTAGTTAGGTTCCCTGGCACCTTTGCATTCTGTGAAGTCACAGAACTCACCATTACCTGGCACAACGCTGCCATTCACGAAACGGAGGAGGCTCTGGCATGGTAGAGTCACAGGGAGAGCTCCAGTGGAGTCAGGGAGCTGCGAAAAAACGACTTGCGGGGCCTCTTGGCCGAGAAGGGGCAGGGGAATCCCCAGCGCCCATGGGTTCTCCCGAGCGCCCATGGGGTCTCTAGGCGGCGCACGGAGGATACGTCGACGCGGGGCGCGGTTCACCGGGGCTGCCATTGCAGCTGTCGCCTAGGTCCCGAAGACCCTTGAGAGGAGGAGTCGCGGCGCCCAAGGCGAGTGAGCTGCGGCAAGCGCAGCCTCCGCTGTGGCCCGGGGCCTCCAGGACGTCCTCCTCAGCCCCACAGCTCGAGGCAGCAGGCACCCGCTGCATCGGCGGGCCGGGCGCGGAGCTGAGTCCGCGGGAGGGCCGGGCTGCCAGGGGCCGAGTGAAGGCGTGCGCCTGGGCGTCAGGATCAATCTCCCGCAAGCAGCCAGGTCTTCGCTGCGGCGTCTGTTCGCAGACCCGCCCCCGAAGTAGCCCTGGGTGGGGCGAGCCCGCGGCCCCGCCCCGGTCCGGGAAGGCGGGGTCCGGCGGGCCCCCAGGGCTCGAGAGCCGAGTTCCCACCCAAGGCTTGTGGCGCCAGACCTGCCAGCGCCGGGGCTGCAAACCTATCTCCCTCGCCCAGCGCGGAAGGAGAGCGAAGGTGAGACTCGCCGTCCTGGCCCCGGTACCCTTCCGCCAGGGGGCGTGGGCATCGGGATTCATCTCCCTCCTGCCAGCCTTTCCCAGGACAGAGTTCTCAGGGCTGCCTCTGACTGACCATTTCTTTTCTTTCTTCTGCCTCCAGCTTTCTCCATCTGCGTCTATTTCTTTTTTCTCCCCGTGCCACCCCTGTCCCTGCCCTTTGCCTCAGTTTTCTGTCTTCTTGTCTCTTCGTGTTTTTCTCTTTCTCACTTTTTCTTGTCTATCTCTTTATCATCTATTTCCCCTGTCCTACCCCTTTCTCTTTTTACTTCTCTTTCCGTCTCTCTGGGTCTTCCCTTCTCCCTGCTTCCCTCCTTCATCAATAATTCCGCCTTTGATTTCTTTTTCATCATCCTAGGTCATTTTTGGGTTGCAGTGCTTTTCATTCATCCATGCACCCATCCACTCATCCCGTGTTGCCCCCTTATTCTCACCAGAGCTTGTGCTGGTTATTAGAGTAATAATGATATATCTGCCTCAGATCCTTTCTCCAACAGTTTGTATCCAAAGATTTGGGCAAGTAGCTTGTTCAGTGTCTGTTTTGGGAAAAGTACATAAATGATCAATTTATAAATCTCTGAGTTTTCATGCTGAGTTGAAAGAAAACACCTGGCTTTACAGACAAGGCGTTGATTGAATCTGTTCCTTGACATTTGCCTGATAATAGGCACAGACAGCACACCAGGAAGCTAAACCCTGCAGGAACATTTAAGGGACTGCGGAGCCCATGCCATCCTCCTATGCAGTCAGTGCAAGGTTGGGGGGCCGGATTCAGAGCTCCATCTGCGTCTATTTTTTTTTCTCCCCGTGCCACCCCTGTCCCTGCCCTTTGCCTCGGTTTTCTGTCTCCTTATCTCTTCGTGTTTTTCTCTTTCTCACTTTTTCTTGTCTATCTCTTTATTATCTATTTCCTCTGTCCTACCCCTTTCTCTTTTTACTTCTCTTTCCGTCTCTCTGGGTCTACTCTTTGTGAGTAGACAAAAGGGAAGCCAGGGCTTTGCATGTGAACCACTTGGGTGAGAGTTGAAATAAGAATTGTACAGTTCTAAAATATATACTTGTCAATGCTGCTGATGAGCAGAAATTAAGTTACATAATTACTGTTGAATGAAGACAGGCATTTTACAGCAATTGTTGAGACATTTGAAATTAATGTTTTTTTGTCCATTGGGTAGGACCACCAAGGTGAAAATATTTCATCTTAATATGAAAGAATCCTTAGACACATAGTAAGTGAAGGAGTTTAGAAAAACAAAACATTCATTTTTGAAGAATAAAATACAAGTATTGTCTATTAAAGCATTTTTACTTGTTAAAAATTTAATCTTGTTAGAGGCATGATTTCATTATTTAATATTTTATGACATATACTTATGTATTCAAACACACAAATACACATACATACTATATATACTATGTTGTAAAAAGAAAACTTGATTACTGTGGAAGCTATTACCACCTAACACTTAAAGCATTAGGTTCTTACAAATAAATAATTTAATCTATCCTTTTAGTTTATTATGATTTTTAATGATAATTTAGCTTATTTTACTTTTCATTTGATGAGAAAGGAAATATTCCAGTAGATAAATCAAACAGAAAAAAATGAACAAAAATTAAACATGGTGGAAAAGGATTGCAGTGGGTTTAGTGAAAGAAGTTTTTCATTTTAGCTCAAAGAACATGTTTGGCAAATTCATAGGTATGTGGAACTTTGATTTGGGAGACTATTTTCTGGATTGAAGAGTTAAGTTGTGTCTGAAGTCATTTAACCACCTACTACCAATGTATCCGAATTGCGGGGGCGGGGGGGGGGTGGGAGTGAGCATGAATGGGATACTCTGCAAATAATTTTGAAATGTTATGTTTGCTTTGCTTAGCAGATTTTTTTCCCCCAGAAATCCAGGAGGTAACTTTTCTTTAAAACAGATAATCACACCAATTTTTAAAATTCAGAGCTAATTCTTGAGCTGCAATGCTTTAAAATTTCTTTTTCTTCTTTAAGTAGGCAGAATCTCTCCTTCCTAATAGGTGATGCTACTGTTGGCATCAGGTAGAGGTCTGGCCAAGCCATCTGATAAAAGTCAGTGCCGTGGACTCTTCCCCTAAAGGCTGTCACTAGAATTGGCCTGCATGGTCAAGTTGTTTTAGGACTCCAGCCAACCTTATTGTGGGCTTGTGGCTGGCTGCATCCTGAGAATCCTGCATTTGGTTTTGCTTGAACACAGCAGGCATTGCTGCTGGAGGGATGTAGGCATAGCGAGACACAAAGCCTGTGGAGGCTGGCTGGGAAGCCTTCCCTCTCCCAGCCACCAGTCAGCCTCCAGGAAAGCCTGGATAACTCTTCAATTTTTAAATTTTCCAGGGTTCCAGGGCTAGGAGGATGCTTAGCAAATGTGTGTTTCCTTTCTTAGGAAAAACCCGGGACTCAGAATCCATGTGTATAAGAGGTAGAAAGAGGATTATGTTCCAGAATCTTCCAGGGTGCCTAAAAAACATCTCTACCATCTAGGAATCCAAGTAGAGCACACAAGTAGAGGGAGGGCCACCACAAGGTTGAGTCCGACTCCTTTGCTAGTGTGGTAGTTGATAAGTTGTGAGGGCTGGCTGGGAAGTATATTGATAAATTTATGCTACCCAACATTTATTAAGCCAGATTGTCTCTAGTACTTTAGCTGTATTAGTCCATCTAATATTTACAACTGCAAATGAAGTGGACACCAAAGTGGTCCTTTTTTACAGATGAAGTAACAGGCAGGGAGAGGATCAGCACCTTTCCCATGGTGACAGGATTGGTAAGAGTGGAGCCAGTTATGATTCAGGCGTCTGACCTGAGAGCCTGTACACTAAACCCCTGTAAGATGTAACCTTCAATGGTTACGTTGGACAGTTTGGTTATGGCATGAACATAAAGGTAAGAATATATGTAGGAGAATGTGGCCAGTGGTTCCCAGATGAAGGAATGCTCAGAGTCTGCAGTCAGAGCCTTGGGTATGGGTACTATAGAAACATGTGCTATTAACAATGTGTGATGGGGTGAGGTATCACCTCTCAAAATGTAACATTTCCCATGTTGGTCAGTAGATCCCTGGTTGGTGGCCCAAAAAGATTGGCAGCCTGAAGGAGAAATATCTCCCAGTAGGGAAGGTCAGACACTCTGTCGACTTGGGGAGCTCAGTTTTACAAGGTTTCAAAGATCATCACTTCATGTTCCCATGATCTAAGGGCTCAGGAAAGGTTGGAGAATCTGGGATTTAAATCATGTTCTTTCAACAGCAAGACCTTGGGGTGGTACTGAAAGATGTCTGTGTGATTCAGAGGGTTTTCTTGCTGAGCTCAGACTGAAAAGAATGAAGAACAACAAGAAAGACCCCTTTCAGGACACACACAACTGAGCAACCAAGATGAGTAAATGGTGTCAGCGGGGAAGAGCCCAGAATGAACTGAGGCTGTTGAGGAGAGCGGAGGACAGTAAAGTGTCCCCTAATATTGCATGGAAGCACAGAGAACAAGGGCTGAATAGATCCACTCACTGCCAGGGCAGCTGGTGTCTGTAGAAGGGGAAGGAGGACAGAGAAGCTCTGCTTTTCCCAGTGATCGTCTGGACAGAGAACCACCTCCAGTTGTAAAGGGGCTTGGTTGGTCCCAGGAGGAAGGAAGAGTGAGGCAAGGAGCACCAAACTGCTGTGCATGTGGTCTCCTGACCCAGAACTCACTGGCCAGGATATGGAGTGATCCCAGAAATGGCATCATACATCTACAGAGGTGATTTGAGAGGTCAGGGATCGTGGGAGAGGTGCGTGAAGCCTGGTGCTGGATGAGACTCAAAGTCTGATGTTAACTCTGGGAAAGAGCCTATGAGTCCCTTGGCAAGAAGAGATGGGCATTAGGCTGGCAGGGCCTCACTGGGGACACACCATGTCAGACTCACTTCATTTGTCATTTTGATCTGGTGATTGCCACAGACAGACTGCACTGAAGTTAGGTGGGATCCCAGTTTTGTAGGACTTTCCTTGTATTTGCCTGAGCGACCTTAACCCAGTAGTGCTGATGCATGTGAGCGCGGGGACCCTCGGGAGGCTAGGTGGCATGCCGGAGGTCCCCGGCCAGTCCAGTACCCTCCTCTTCCTCTTTCTACCCTTGTCCTCCACCTCCTTTCTTCTTCCTGTATGTTCATTTCCTCCATTTCTTCCTCTTCCTCTTCCTTCCTTCCTCCTACCTCTTCCCCTTCCTCCTCCTCCTTTTTCTTCTCTTTATCTCTTCCTTTTTGTTCCTCCTCCTCATTCCATTATCAATATCATTAGTAGTATTGTTATATCATCCCCTTTACTCCTTTCTCCTCCTCATTATTATTATATCTTCATCTACTCTTATTCTTTAGTAGTAGTAGGTGCCTCCTATTCTTGCTGTTTTCATCATTATTATTAAGATTTGGATGATAGCATTGACGGAGCATGAATTTTGGTGGATATCTAACACAACAATTGGCAGAATCCAGGCCCCAAAAGGTCTCAGAAAGCTGGACAGCTGCGCCACACTTAATAATGTGGCATTCCACAGGTTGGAGATGAGTGCACTTGGGTTGAGATATTCAACTTCCTGCATGTGGTTGCTGTGAAATTCCGTGAAATAAAGTGTATGAAGCCTCTGAAATGTAGATACATATGTTGTATTAAGTCATTAAACAGTGACTTCTTTGTCAATATTGTGAAGCATACTGGTAGCAAATGTGGTGATGAGGAAAGGGTTGTCATATCTGTGTTCAGGGCAGTCTGGAGACTAGTGACAGCAGGGCTTACACAGCTGTGTTTGGCAAAAGTTGCCTTTGCTGTGAAGGTGGCCAAGCGGGGCTGTGTGCAAAGGGATGCAGGGGTGCAGTGAACCAGGTGGACAGCAGGGCGGGCTCCTGCTCAGGCTTGGGAAGACATTATGTGGTTCTAAACTGTTACCTGAAGAACTGTCTGATAGAAATGGTGGAGGTGACGTGTGTGTAAGCCTCTGTGTGTGTGTGTGTGAGTATATGTGTATGTGTGTAAGTATGTGTGTATTTGAGTGAGTGTGTATGCGTGTGAAGATGTGTGACTGTGTGCAGGTGAGGGTGTGAGTGTTTCTGGGTGTGTATGTGTCTTTGTGTGAGCTCATGGAAGCTCAGCAATAGAGCTTCAAGCAGACCAGTTATTTGAGAATAGGGGAAAAATGGCTTCATTCTAATTGGAGACGTACACTGGTAGATCTGGAAAGGACTGTGGAGATCATTTAGTCCAGCACTTGTTTATAGATGGGAAAATGAGGCTGAGAGAGGTGGACTGTTGTGGTGCCCTCTGCCTCTTCAAGAAACATTGGCAGCACGAATCTTTGGTGGCTGCAACATCCCCTTCGAGGAACTTGTTTGGAAAGGACATTAGGAGTGGCTCAGATTGCCCTGGTGGCACACTGATTGGACTGGGTGCTCACTGCAGGGGGCAGCATGGGGGCACATGGGCTTTGGGGCACACCCTTGGGTTTTAATCGCAGCTGTTTGTCATCCTTGCAGAGGACATAAGGCCTGGTGCTGAGCCTTTTAGAACCCATGTTGTCCTCATCTGAGAAGCGGTTGGTAACCCTTCAGGTGGAGTGAAGACAAAGAGCTGACATGCACAGTGTCTGTCAAGTCCCATGCCCCTAAGACAGAGAGAATGGGCAGGGTACCTTGGGGCTGCAGGAAAGCAAGAGGAAAGAGCTGACATGAGCCACATGGTGTTTATCTATGACAAGCCCAAAGAGGAAAGAGCTCAGCAGCCCACTTCCCAGGGTCCTCCTGAGCCCTAGGGGCAAGTATTTCAAATGATGAAAACTCAGACCACTTAGGGTCTAGTTCATCCAGTACGGCTCTCCAGCTGAGGGGAATGTTTGAAGATGGGCCTCCTAGTTTCAAGAAATCATTGGTGGAGCCAATTAGAAAAGGGCAGGGGTGAATGCCTCCCCAGCAGGGCTGATGGCACCCTCTTCTTCTTGGTGCCACCCTCACAATATGGCCCTGTTGTGTCTCCCTTCCAAGCCATGAGCAGTTTGAGGTCAAAGTGGAGGCTGGTCCACCTGAGTATGCCCAGCAGGTTGGCACAAGAGGACAGTTGACAGGTGAGCGGAGGAGAAGGAAATGGATTGATGTGTGAGGAGAACCAAATGGGGCACTTCTGGTGAGTAGAGACAGGGGAGACCTTCGCTTGCTCCAGGGGCAGGGCCAGGTGGAGAGGTGGCTGCCCCCTAGGTGTGGGACTGGTGGCCAGGCACAACCCCAGAGCTGCCTATCATGCCTGCACGTTTGCTGTCCAGCTTTTACCTTCTGAACACCTGTGCTGCAGGAGTTCCTGTCTCCAGCTGCTTAAAGTGTCCTGGCACTCATGACAATTTAGGGAAAATATTAGTATGCTGAGCAGCAAGAAATGAAAACTACCTTAAATTGGGGTGCAAACATGTTGGAGTTGCCCACCAAGTCAGAACTGGCCTGTGGACGCCTTGTGTACTCTGCTAATGTAGTGGCTGCTGCTAGGATGCTGGCAGCATTGGGGGCAGCCTGCAGGGGAGAGCTGGTGGCAAAGCGCTCTGAGTCAGAGAAAGCTGCTGCCTCTGTAGTAGTCAGGATTCTTTAGATGCAAATGAGTGAAAAGTGCCTGCCTCACTGACATTGCTTCCTCCCTCTACAGAGTCCTGGGGTCCAGGTGTGGCTGGCCCATCTGTCACATTAGAGGTCTTCAATTTCATGGCTCCTCCCTGAGTGAACCCTGCAGACCGCCAAAACCTTGAAGACTGACAGCAGCTGGAGTTGTGTCAGCTGGCCCACGCCCTACCTAGTCAACATGGCTGCTGGGAAGGGGGCTCTGTGGAGCCCTTCAGTTGAAAACACACAGCGGCTGGGTAAACCCAAGCAGGGTCAGGGCTGCAAGCTGGTGCTGCTGGAGAAAAGAAACTGCCTGAGCTCTGGAGCTGCCACGGGCAGTGGTGGCCAGGATGATGCCCATGGTGAGCTGGCATTGTCAGCAACCCCAGGCATGCTCAAACTGGGAAAGCCACTGGCCCGGAAAGTGTGCTTAGAACAGGGACAGAGTGCCTTCAGGGAGGTACCTCAGCTCAAGAAGAGGCTAGAAGATGGGCAGCAAAAGGAGAAAGAGCATGATGTCCCTGAAGGTCAGCAGCTGACTCGGGATGTCCCCAGGGATCCAGCTGGCAACATGGTCTTTGCTGTGTGGCCCAGCCAAGGCCAAGGGGAGCAGAGAAGCGCCTTCAGCAAACCAGCCAGGTGTCCAGCAGGGAGACCTGGGCGAACAACCTCTGTCTCCCAGGCAGGCAGACCTGCAGATGCCCTGGGGGAGCTGTTAGGACTGAACACGGTAGATGTTCCTTGTTGGGGTCGACTTTCAAATTCCAAGGTTTTGGTGGGTCATTTCTGGAAACTCCAAACCTTGCCACAAAATGCTCCTCTCTGCAGCTCCTTCCTGGGTGCCCCTACACTATGGCTAAAGCATGCCAGGGCCCAAATGCCCATGCCCTCCTCCTCCTCCTCCACTGCCTCTTGGGCCCTCCTGCCACCCACGTTCACTTCCCTGGGCCCATCTACCCAGAACTGGTGTGCGAAGTGCAACCTCTCCTTTCACCTGACCTCTGACCTGGTCTTCCACATGCGTTCCCACCACAAAAAAGAGCATGTGGGGCCTGACCTGCATTCTAAGAAGCTGAGGGAGGATGCTGTCACATGCCCCATTTGCCATGAGTATTTCCGGGACCGCCACCATCTCTCCCGACACATGACTTCTCACAGTTAAGAGGTGGCTGTGCACCAAACCTCTAGGTACAGCCCCCAGCATTTGACAGTGAGGCAGAGATGGCTCACTAGGGTTTCCTTGGGAAAGACTGGTCACAGTTGTCTGCAGGGTCGTCTGCCTCTGAGTTTTTATATGAAAAGCTTGGTCAGAATTTGAAAAAGACAGCCCTTGGCTATGATGTGCTTTGAAGGAAATAAAGTCCTGAAATAAAATGATGTACTTTGCTAATCCAGGATGTTGGGACTACTAGGCACAAAGTGTTTCTAACAGCTTCAAGAATGGAGCCCTGCTGTGTCACCATTTCTTTTTCTTTCTATGGAGGCAAGTTCAGCACTCAACAAAGGCTTGGGAGGCAGACAAATCTGGATTCAAATCTTGGGCCTTTCATGTACTAGCCCTGACCTTGGACAAACTGCTTTAACCATCTGAGCCCCAGATGGAGATGTAAAATGGAGATGATGACTCCTGTGTTTTAGGGATGCTGTCAGGGTTAGGTGGGCAGATGTGTGGAAAATGGTCAGCATAGTGCCTGGCACAGTGCCATTATTGAATAAATGATATTTATTATTGTCCAGATCAGTCAGCTGTTACTACATCACAAAATTGCAGTGGCAAACAACTGAAATCAATTTTTCTTACTCGAGGGTCAGTGGGTTGGCTTGGGTTGAGCTGTCTTGTCTGGGCTTAGGTTGTAAGCCTAAGCCAGTTGTAATACAACCTGCCCTTAGGCTGCAGGTTGTATTTAGGTTCATACTGCTTTCCTGGAACCGACTGGCTAGCCAGGTCATGCTTTTTTCATGGTTTGAAGTTCCAAGTACACAAGCACATCTCAAGTCTCTGCTTGGGTCACTTCCATTAATATCCTCATGGCCAAAACAAGTCAGTGGCAAGTCCAAAGTTCATGGGTGAAATGTGCACACTGCCCACTGTGAAGCCATGAGGAGGGAATGTGTGTGTAATCACACCACACTGGCATGAAGAGCTGGAACCAGTAATTCAGCAACCAACACCAGGTCCACGGTTCTCCACTTTTTGAATATATGAAAAGGGAAAAATGGAGCAACACATCCACGCACACACTCCTTAGAGGTCAGGAAGTGAACATTTGTGAAAGCTTAAGACAAAACTTTGGAAGAACTGGGAGAATTCTTATCTGCTCTGTATCTCATTTCTCTTAGTAAATATTCTATTTATCTGTGTTTGTCCTGGCAAAACTCAGGTCATAAACCCTGATGTAATGCAGGTTGGGTTTATTTCCATCAGTGGGGTCTTATGGCTGGTTTCCACCTCACTTTCAGGATTTATTCATTTTACCTGCAACTTTCAACCCTCTGGTGGGGCCTGTCACAGAGCTCAGGTTTGTGGTTGGAAAGGAGCTGGTGGGGGTCTCAGTCAGCAGCCACGAGCCACCCAAACACCCCCAAACTCCACCACTTGTACCTCTGTCCAGGATGCTCACCATGTCCCAGTCAGAAGCATGTCACCTGGCCCGCCGAGACCCATCCACCCCTCTACCTCACCCTTCTCCCCACTGCTGCCCACATGCCCATCCTTTTCACCCATAGCCAGTCCTGTATTTATTTATCAGCCTCCCTGGGTGCCCATGTACCAGGCTCTGGGCCAGGCCTTGTGGGCAGCACAGTGAATTTGACCCATGGTCCATGTTCAGGGGGAGGTGATCAGAGTGCTGTGACATACTGAACAGAGGCCTGCACTGGGGTGTCAGGCACATGGGAGGAATGTGAGGAGGGGAGCACGATGCCCTCAAAGGCCTTTTGAGGAGTGTGAGTGTGAGCAGAGGCTCGAAGTCCAGCAGGGCTGGTGATTCTGGCAGGGAGTGGCAGCAGGGGACCAGGGGTGGGCCAGGGTGGTGGCTGTCCTCAGATGCCACAAGGCCAGTGTGAGGAGGACTGAGTGGGGGAGGCGGCCTTCTGAGATGGAGACACAGGAAGGCCTTGAAGGAGAGGAGCTTGACCAGCACAAGGGAGGGTGGCTCTGAGAGGCACTGTGAGGGGGCCTCTGGGTGCAGCAAGCATATTGGCCTGGAGGAGAAAAGATGACCCCTGAGCCATTTTCCTCTGCATCTTGGAGGAGCCATTGCTGCAGAGCACCCCCAGTCTCACTGGGAGACTTGGAGGCCCCACATTTCCTGAGACAGACAAGGACCATTCTGCAAACCAGCCCCCTCCTGGGCAGAATTTTCCCACAGAGAGGCTGTGCCCAGAGGGGGCTGAGGCTATCACATGTGGGTCAGGAAAGGGCACCTCAGGGGATTTGACTTTGAGGCTCCACACCATGCACTGACATCCCTTACATCATTTAATCTTCATGACATTCCCAGGAGGTAGGTATTTAATTCTCATTTTACTGTAGAAGAAACTAAGCTCCAAGAAGTTAACTGAATTTCCTAAAACCATGGGTTCAGAAGAACTGGTGCAGAATAAGACCTCAGGACTGCCCAACTCTGAATTCACATCTTTCCAGCCTGCCACGCAAATGCTCAGTGTAGGGTCACATGGCATCATGGATGGTTTAAAAACTGGGGCTTGGGACCAGGCATTGACTCTCTGTCTAAAATTTCAACTTAGCTTGGCCCCCTCCCCATTTCCTATCACCCTTCTCTTTAGCACTTTTCACTCACTTGCACATTATGTTATTTTACTGATTTGCCTTATTTACTGAGTCTCCCATTACTAGAACATAAGCTCTGTGAGGCATTTTTGCTATTTTGTTCTCTGCTATATCCCCAGGAACTAGAACATTGTAGGCACATAGCAGGTGTTCAACAGACATTTGTTGAGGGAATGAATGAGATGCCTGGTTCCAGCCTTGCCCCTAATAAACCTTAAATTAGCTTTTCACAGGTGTCTTGAAATCTGTTGAAGGTATGCACAGCTGTTCTCCTCTGACTTACTGGATTGGCCTGTAACTTCTGCAAAACTGCTTTGAAAGGCATAAATACATGATACTAAGCAAAATAGAAACTTAGAATGGAAAGAAATGCTGGGTTCTAGTGCATGCCCTGGCATTGCAGTGAACACTGAGGGCCACTGATGAGCTGACCTGCCAAGTGACACAGGGGAAGTGGTGGTGTCAAGGCTAGGATCCTTGAGATGTCTAGACATGTGCATCTCATCTGGCCTGTCCACACTCCTCTAGGAACCTTGCTGAGGCCACAGATGGAATCACTAGCAACGGTCACACCATTCACAAGGAAGGGAGACATTATGAAATAAGTCAAAGTTAATCAAATTAAATTAATTAAGCTATGAAGAAGCACAGCAAAACATTTTCTCCCAACTCATCTTTTTAAAAATGGATGTAGATGCAAGTTGCTCTGCAGCCATTTAAGTTGACAAGCTCAAAGATGACTTATGGATGTTATGACTTAGTTGATTAATGTGGCAGCTCGTATTTGTCGCCATGCTAAGCTCCCAAGTCCCCTAGGCAGTCAAATCCTGTCTCATCCCTTCTTCTCTCCTGTCCTATAGTCACTGGCGAGAAGTCACTTTTAATCATGACTTTGCCCAAGCCCTCTTTGCCACCTTCTGCACCAGCTAGAGGTCGGCTGGTAGTGGTGCCACAAAATATCACATCAGCAGTTATGAATTTTGCTCTGCAATTCTGGGGTAAAGGTTGTCAGATTTCTTATATTCTTTGTATCTAATTTAATCTGCTCCAATCCTCTGTGGTTCTCCTAGGACAGGCAATCTCATTTTCAAGTTTCTCCCCTGTCTCTCAAGTTTATTGGAAGTTCCCCTATATACCCCACCTAAGCAGGTATCCTTTTAAAGCATTATGTGATCTCCCCACGCTGTGTGGGGTTCTTGTCTCTGTCCTCCTACATGCTCTATCTTCTCTCCTCCACTTCTCCTGGCATCTTGGCCTGGTGGTTTTCTGGCAATGCTGTCGTTGGTCATGCAGCACAGAAGCCACTGAGACAATAACAGAAAGGCTTGGCCAACTTCTTGAAATAGGGAAGAAAAAATACCTATAGCGGCTGGAAAAATAGCAATTTACATCTCAATAAATTATCCCCCAGGCAGCAGCCATTCTTTTGAGGATTTATAAAAGTCACCAAAATGTGCTAATAAGGCTAAAATAAGACATTCTGAATTCAGATCCATTGTAATTCTCAATTTTAACCAAGATCTGCTTTTCTGTTTGTTTTTATCTGGAAGAGAAGTAAAACCTCAACAAGGTTGGGGTCCTAAATTTCGACTTCTGGCCAATTCCTGAATCTTAGACCAGAGATCCTACTCAAATGGCTAGATAATTAGGTTAATGAAAGTGAGTGAAGTCCCCTGGGCTTGTGGGGAGGGAAGGGAAAAGGAGGGGAGCTCCTGATACTTGGATGTCCTGGGTGTCTCCTTGATGTCAGGTGGAACACAGGCCTCAAAAGTGGCTATTAATCAGTACTATATGTGAAATTAGTAGTCAACAGCTTTAGTTGCCTTTTTAAAACGGGTGACCAAAAAGGAAGCACATTAGTGGTGGTGGTGATGGGGAGAGGCAGGAATCGGTGGCTGGAGACCCATAACTCTATTATACTCCCAGCTTTGGAACAGTCTGGGTTCTGGGTCTGGCCCAGCTAACCTCACACATACTACCTATTCATCTGGGAGAGACTCCTACACAGGGGTCAAAGTCAGCAGGAGTTATCCACAGGCAAACCTTGCATCCTTCCTCCTTGGATGGTGCTGGTGCCTCCTGGAGGCTGCAGGCCTCCCTTGCACTTCAGAGAAAGTTTTGCACACCTTGGCTATTTGCTTAATTTTGATTTTTTTTTTTTTGTAGTCATGCAAGTCTAAAGATCACATAGTAATAATTGAATACCATAGAATAAACCTTTTATTTTAAAAACGAATCATTCTCCAGTATGTTTTGACTTGTGCCATTTCCTAGGAGAGAAGAATTTTTCAGAAACCAATTTTGAATGGGGGTTGGGAAAGCAGTAAATTTGGGGAAGAGGGTTGAGGTTGTTTAATTTTCTTCTTCCTCAGCCATCCTGTGTTTTCCTGGGGTAGGAGACAGGAAGCTAGTGGCCTCTGATACCCTTGGAATTCTAAGCTGCTTGGATTAGGAGGCTATTTTCACTACCAGCCCCCTGATCATCAAATAAGCAAGGAGTCCTTAGGCAGCTAATCCCATAGGAACCAGGAGGTACAACATGGGCACCCTCCAGTGGGGACCTAGAGGCAGGATACCTTGCCCATCGGTGTTATTTCAGCAGCACCCTTTCTCTTTCTGAGCCATGCCCTCCCGTTGCATCAATGCGGAGGGGGTAGCCAGGGACCTCACTGTCACACAACATGGGTGTGCAGGCAGATGCAGGGACACAGGGGGCAGGGTGAGTGAGGTGGGAGGAAAGCTGGGTTCCTCCCCTCTGGTACTCCAGCATGGTCCCTGGCCCCTGCTGTACCAGGGCCTGTGGCAAGGCTCCAGCAAGGATCCTGGTGGTGAAGATCCAGCCTCTCTGTGGGCTGGGGAGACCTCGGGAGAGGGGTGGGCAGCCTAGCCCAGCCTTTCTTGATGTAGGTTAGGGGATGCCTCGAGGGGTTCTCAAGCAGGGGGAAACCTGAGAAGGATGTATGGCAGGGCAGTGGCCCTTGCTGCAGGCCCAGGCACAGAAATGGGGCAGGAGGCTGTGGTGGGGATTTAGATGCCTCACCAGGACCCTAAGACAAAGGAGAGGGGATGGCAGGATGGGCCCAGAGCAGAATGCTATTAACTCAGATAGCTCATCTTGGGTTCTGATGATTGTATGGACACAGGGTTGGGGATGGGAGGGAGAGAGAGGCGGAGCCAGGAGCATCCTCCCTGATTTCTGGAGGGAGATGTGACTTTGTATAAGATAGGGACCTGGGAACAGAAGTAGGATTTGGCCAGGCTGGGTACGGGTAGATGGATGTGATGAGCTCATACTGGGGCATCAAGAGTTTAAGGGGCCTGCAGTCTGTCAGAGCACAGGCTTCTAGGCAGCTGTGGGTCACCTGGCTTTGCCACCAGAAGAGAGGCCTGGTGGGATTTCATTTTCCTTTTTCCTTCTCTCCAGTCTTCTGTCTCCAAGCAGGTAATAATGCAGGAAGGATGGCATCAAGAAGGCCGACCTTTCCCTGCGTTCTGCACAGAACTCTAGGTTCCCCACATTAAGGCCTCTTCCCAGACCAGACCTGGGGCGTCTTCATGCTTTGGTGAAAAGAGCAGGGGCTTTGGAGCCAGACACATGTGGGTTCAGATCTTGCCTGCGCCTTACCCAGGTGCACCACACAGTCTAATTTGTTGTACACAAATAGTCTGTGATGGATTGAAGCAGAAAAGGATGTCTTGAGAGCTGCACGCTGTGTTGGGTGGGCAGGCTGGGGCTCACGCTGGACAGTGGACAGGGACAAGGAGCTACTCAGGGGACTTGCCTGCAAAGGACACCGCTGCTGCCCCTGTTGAGTAGGGGCATGGCTGTGCTGCCCTGCACACTGTGCATCTGGTCACTGTTGCTGCCCAGCTTCCCCAGGCCACTTGCTCCAGATTAAACATCCTGCCCAGGAGTCTCTGGGCCCAGGCAGGACCACATGCCCATACCCTACTGCCAGGGAGCTGGGAAAGTGGGCTGCCAGGGTGTCCAGCTTCATTGTGGAGAAACAATGACAGGTGACTTTGGCTGGGCACTGGTTTAATCAATCTTCACAGCCCCAGAGGCGCTATTATCTCTCCCATTTTACAGCTAACAAAACTGAGGCCCAGAGATGGTGAAGTAACTTGCCCAGAGTCACACAGCTAGGAAGTGACTAGCCTGATCTTCTCACGCAGGCAAGCTCAAGTCAGAACTTGGGCTCCTAATCACCTCACTGCTTCTTAGTGAGTCTGTTTCCCCTAGGTTCATATTGAACCTCGAAGTGGGTGCAAATGCTGGGTGGCCTAAAGGAGGACAAAGGTCCATTCTGCTAGCTGTGTGACCTCCTGTAAATTACTGAGCTTATCTGAGTTGCTCAGAGAGAGACCTATGTATGACACCCATCCTAAAAGCTGCTCCACCCCTTCCCTGATTTAAGACCCACCAGGACCTTGGCCATCTGCAAACTCCACAGTACCTAGCCTGGTATCTGGACCAAAATAAACTGCCAATAAATGTCTGTGGTGTAAGTCAGGAAAATCCAAATGTTATGAAAGGAAAACCTGTGAAAAAATTAACTATTCAGTAAGGTATGGTTAGTGACAGAATTATGTAATTTGTTTTTATCTAATTTTATTTTTGGAATAATGACTGCTGTGTTTAAAAATAATGATATATGCTTGTTATAAAGATTTAAGAAAAAGAGGAAAATATAAGAAGAAAGTTAAAGCATCACCCCTGATTCTACCACCTAGAAGGAACCATTGTTTGATTTAGGTGATCATCAGTTAGCTGTATATGTGTGTGTTTGTGTGTGTGAGAGACGAGGGAGCAGGGAGGGGGGAGGAACCCTAGAATGTAAACATACAGGGAGGGTCACATAGCTGCCTGAACATTAATAGAAAGAAAATTAAAGAAAAAGATGGGGTCACACAGTCCATGATACTACTAAATGTGGTCATGCGCTTAGTCTTACCTGAATTTAGCAGAAGGCAAAGGGCCTGGAGTGAAATGTTGCCTGCCATCAGGGCTTTCCTGTTTAGACAGAGTTGATTCAAGGTTTTCTAGGGAAGAAACCCCTAGGTATTGGCGGTGGCCCGCTGATGTGCTCAGATGCCACAGCACTCTGGGTGCTGTGGACAGGGCTGGTGCAGTCAGTCCATGCCCGGGGGAGGTCACCTGTGGAAGCTGCACCTACGCTCACCAGATGGCAAGGCCAGGCAGCCCCAGCATTTCATCCTCACTCAGACACCTTGGAGCCAGAAGCTCTGGGAGTGCTGAGTGGGGGGCTGGGGTACCCTGGCCTTCCAGCCTCACCCCCAACATAATTTTGGGTGGGACCCTAGAGGTCTCTCATTTTTGGGTCCCTGGTGCCTCCAGCAGAGCCGGGTTGCACTCCCAGGGCACCAGCTGGGTTCTTCTTTCCCAGGCCACCCCTGGGCTCCCCACTTTCTTGGCTCTAGAGGAGGTCTCAGGGTCTGTGTGCTGCCAGCTTGTTGCCCCATCAGGACTCGGCTTGGTCCCCAGAGCCAGCACAGTGACAGCCTGCACTTGGATGGTCAGGGCAGGAGTCCAGACCACCACCAGGACCATGTTCCATTGGATGCTGCACAGCATCAGAGCTCTTTGGATCCCTGGTAGAAACTGGAGAATATGCCATGGAAGGAACATGTGACAAAAAGACAGGCTCATTGGGTAGAATTGGACTGGGGCTGGAAAAAGAGGATTCTAAGTGAACCTCAACCTGTCTCCAAGTGTCTGGTGGCTGCCACCTGGAGGAAAACATAGATGTTGTTTTCTTGGTGCCCAATATTGATGTGTGTCCGTTGTGTTAACACTGCCTGCAACAGGTACCACCTAGGTGGCGGGCAGGAGGGGACGAGAATGAGTAGGATGGCTCCTGCCACTGAGGGCTGTCCAGCATGGTAGGGACAGAAATGATCCCAGGGCAGGGTGGAAGAGGTGCTCGAACAGGGAAGAGCAGGTGCAGGGAGCAGACTGCATACCCAACTTCTAAGACCCTGTACACAAACATCTCATTCATTATCATTTTTATATTAAGTACATGCTGAAGTGATACTACTGTATGGTAGGTTAAGTAAATTATATTATTAAAATATACTATTAAAATGAAATTCAGCTGTTTCTTCTTACTTTTTAAAATGGTGGCTACTAGAAATGTGAAGTGACTCATGTGCTGGACATCTGTGACTCATAGCTTTATTGGTTGGAGCTGCTCTGGTTGACAGCAATAGGACCAGGGAGTGAATAAGAAGCATGGCTTGGGTATCTGGACTTCACTTCCCCAAAATAACTACTCTGGAGGGGTTTCCTTTGAAGGGCTGAGTTTCCTGTCCCTAGGTGTGCAAAAAGAGAGAAAAGACTGGGTGGATGAGCTCCAAGAGTGCCTCCAACTCTAACCAGCGTTAAGCAGGCCTGTTTGCAGCCCACTCTGGGTCTCAGGCAGGACTATGTGCTAGAGTGCCTGTGGCATGCGCACCTGAGATCCCACCCACCATGGGGCTATGCCCACAGGGGCCCTCCCAGCAGCCCTGCAGGCTTGGACTTTGCCTTGCCCTCGGCAGAGTGGGCTGGAGCATCTCCTTGGCTCTAGTGAGGGCTGCTTCAGCAGGAACAGCCACATTGGGCATCACACCCACCCCTTCCCAGGGGCTGCCATCTGCAGCCACCACTGAGCGGGCTGTGGGGATGGTGATGTAAAGGTGGGTATCATCCACATGGTAGGTTTGTGGCGGGTGGCAGCCCCCACTGGTCACTTCCCCGATGACCTGTGCCCGGCCCAGCTTCTTCATGATATAAGTAAATTCCTCTGCAGCACCAGCTGTCAAGCCACTGGTCAGAATAACCACGCTCTTCTTGGAGCCATAACGTTCACCTGGAAGATAGAAGGCCCTCCAAGATGGGGAGTCAGGTCAACACCCTAGGGCACCTGCCTTCTCTATACTATCTGGATCTATAGAGAGAAGGGCTTGGGATTTAGTTCTGTGCCCTTGTGTTTATATGCAAGTCCCTTCACCTTTCTGAGCCCCAGTTCCTGCATCTGTAAAATGGAGAAAAGGATGTGCTCCCAATCCTAGGCATGTAAGTGCTTGAGAGCTTCTCCTTTTCTGGTTTTCTGGGGTGCGTGCCCTTTTCTCTTCAAGTGGTGGAAAAAGGCTTGACTTTCCAGAGAAAAGGGAGTGCTTCCTCTTCGTGAATAATAAGAACACCTAACCTCACCACACTGCCTTTTCACTTCAGACTTTGGGAAAAGCCAAATTTGTGACTTATTGACAACAATCCTCTAGGGCAGTGATGTCCAATAGAAATGCAATGTGAGCAAGAATGTGAGCCACCCATGTCATTTAAAGTTTTCTAATAGCCACATTAAACAAGTGAAAAGAAACAAATGAAATGAATTTTAATAATGCTTTAACTCAGTATATCCAAAATATATTCATCTCAAAAATGTAATCAATAAATTCTTACTGAGCTATTTTACATCCGTTTTTTAAAAAAATAAAAAGTCTTCCAAATCTGGTTGTGCATTTTACACTTCACCTCTCAATTCAGTGAACTACATTTCAATGGGGGCTCAGTGACCACATGTGGCATGTGGATTTCATATTGGACATCACAATTCTAGGACCCCATGATCTGCAGACTTGAGTCTGTTTTTAACTCCTGGTCTTGAATGTCTATTTGAATTTAGAATTCCTCTGGCTCTAATTTTTATTTACATTTTGAAATATTAATGAATGTATGTATTGGAAGCTCCCCCCAAATCTTTGTGTGATAAGGAAATGTACAAATGTAAGTTGTGGGGTGCTTTTCTGGTCACATGTACTCCCCACCGCTGGTCTCCCAGCCCCCTTTGTTGGACGGAAGAACAGGTTCATTGGCTTTCCAGGCTGGGTAAGATAGATGAAGTAAGACTATCACTCAGGACAGGTTGTGAGAGCCATGGCTCTATTGAGAGTAGGGCCTGCACTGCTCCTCTGGCCGCTGCTCTGGGTCCAGGGAAGAAACCCCGACAGAGTAACAAACTTTCTTCAGACAAGTGTGCCAACAGGCTGCTAAGAGAATTCTGCTAATCTGAGATCCTCCAAACCTGAGCACTGAAAATCCCTCATGGGGTTTGGTGAAGGGCAGGAGGGTCCTAGTTCTGCATTTGTCCTGCAGGATGATGGTAGTAGTAATGAGAATGGGGGGCATTTTGGTTTTAGACAACTCATTGCTCAAATTTTGGTGCCTTCACTTATTAGCTGAGTGATGTTACTGACAAGATTTCTGCCCAGCTGAGACTCATTTTTCTATTCTAGAAAATGGGCATAATGTTATGTTTTTGCAGGAATTAAAGATCATATGTACAAAGTGCACAGCATAAGGCAGGGGGCTTTATATTCCATTTACTATTACTTTTACCTCAACCCAAGCTTACCAGAGTTAAGCAGGCCTGTCTTTCTCTGACTTTCCAGAAGTATCTATAATGGGAACACGAAGGGGAAGACTTCTGCACATACCTGCAAGCTGGGTGTGGGTCCAGAGCTCACTGACAGAGTCATTGGGCCGGCTGTAGATTTTGTCCAGCAGAATTGGAGGCCCTTCATCAAAGAAGTAGGAGCATAGGGCGGAGATGGAGGAGGTGGGGCCCCCAAGGTTGAACCTGAGGGGAGGAAAGTAGAGGCTATTCAACTAGAGTTCAGAATGAGGCCCAGGCCTTTGCCCTGCTGAGGGTTCTAATCCAGGCAGGCTCAGTCTAGTGTTTCCTCCTCCTCCAGAATTTCCTGTTAGGCATTTCCCAAAGAACAAGACTTTGGGGCTAAATTTGTTTTGAAAATACCATATACCATATCAACTTCTTCTGATCACATAATATATATTATTGTGTGATACGTACTGTATACATTACATTAAGGCCTCTGATAAGTCCTGCAGTCAGTAAATTGTTGATAAATTTCCTCCACTTACTGACCACAGACTGCTCCTCTGCACCCATGCTGCCTATGAATAGACACATTTTGGAAGCACTGTCTTCCCCCAACTGTGTTCTCCATAATTGCACAAAACCCACTAGGCCTCTCAGTTAAGGTGTCCTAATGTGGCACTTAGTATGGCAGAGTGCTCAGAGTTGTAGAACTACATTGAGGATGAGGGAATCTTCACTCATCCCAGGCTATATGGATTTACCCTGCTGTGCAAACTCCCTGGGCTCCTGTCTTTTCATCTGTAAACGAAGAATGTGGAGCTGGCGATGTTTTAGGCGTCTCTTCATTGATGGACTAGGATGGATGGCCTGGGTTCAGGGCCTGAGATCTCAGAATCTGAGATCCTCCAAACCTCAGGTTGGAAGGGTTTTTTGCAAAGCACACCTGAAGGTTGGGCCACCTCCTCTTTAAAAATTGTGGGTGGCATAGTTATACAGAAAGGGACTTAACATGAGGGGTGCTTAGATGTTCACTAGAGCATTTGAAGGCTAAAATCTTCAGTGGTGCCATAGGATAACCGCTTCCAACCTCCACCAACCTCCAGTGCTCAGAACACACACATTGGAACCTGGGGAAATGTTTTATCTTCCAGGGAGGAGAACCAGCCTCCAGGGACATCTGGTGATGACTAAGAACCCTGGAAGAGTTGTGCCCGCTGATGGAGGTGGACCAAATGCTCCCTCTCATCCAATTTCAGCAGCCTCTCTCCAGCAAGAGCAAGGGGGGCGTGTCCCGTGGGGGCAGACTGGCCCTCCGCATGCCTATGGAGCATGCCCAGGGCAATCCAGGGAGGCATGGGTCTGGCTGCCCCCAGATGGTGTTCCCTGCCTTACCCTACCTGCAGAAGGGAGGTCATTAGCTAAAAGTAATTTTGTGATGCAAAGAATTCTTTTTGCACCAACAGTGGCTGATTAGTAAATTCCTCTGGGACTCTGGCCTTCCAAGTCTCATGACCAGGGTGGTTGTGGGTTGATTTTGTATGACATAAACCACACCTACAGGTGACAGCCCTGCTGTCCCAAACATGGTTGATTATCAGGATCACCTGGGATGATGACTTTCCTCTATATGGATTATGGGGCCTCGCCCCTGGAGCTTTGGATTCAGTAGGGTTGGGGTGGGGCCTAGGAATCAATGTTTTTAATGTCTCTCTTCCACCTCCAACTCCATTAAATCCTATGGCCAGGTAAGTTTGGGGGCCACCAGAAGAGCCCAGTGATTCTCAGCCTGGAATGCACAATGGGATCATCTGAGTATCTTAGAAAAATTACCAGTGTGGGGGCCTCACCTGGCCAATTAAGCTGGAATCCCCGGGGCTACCTGATCAGCAACCACTGACCCCAGTGCACTGACCTCATGTCAATAATCATGGCATCTGTGTGCACAATCTTCTTCCAGACGTGCTCCACCAGCAGCTCTGAGACCTGGGTGAGCAGCTCACAGTCTCCAAACATGTCAAACCTCAAGTAGCCAATGTTGTCCTCAAGCACATTAGTGTGGAAGGAAAACTTGATCAGGTCTTCAAAGACTTCAGGGGAAGGGATCTGAAAGATTAGGAGGTCTGGCTCAGTGTCAGGAGGGGAGTTGATTTTAAGGCTCAGGAAAGTGGGCACCATGGTTTTCCTATATCTTATGAGAAATATTCAGGGCATGGAAGGCAACTAATATTTCTGAAGGATCTTCTCAACCATGTGTCTGGGAGGTTACGTGGGTGGTGCACCTGGAATGTGAGCCCACATGTGGTTGGCAGCCTCTTTTCTGAGAATGCTCACATGTGCCAACTCCACATCCTGCTGTCCAGACTGAAAGGCCCAGATGGATCTCCTCTCCACCCCTCTGCCCCCACTGGGCATATCTTTATATCTCTGAGCCCATCTTCCTCTCCTTCCTTGGGGCAGGGAGGTGAGATATTAACTCTCAGGCACCTGAGTCTTTACCAAGGGTCTGGCCCTATGCTGAGCTCATTGCCAACCTTACCATCACCCTCAGAGCCACCCTGTAGAGGAGACACCATTATCCCCATCTTTTCAATGAGGACACTGAAGCACAGGGGGATGAAGTAACTTTCTGAAGGTCACACAGACAGCAAGTGGTAGAGCCAGAATCTGAATCCACAACTGACTCCAAACCATGAACCCTGCTTGCCCTGGAAAGGAGTGAGCCCTGAATTTGGGATCTGAAGACCCTGTGAGCCTAACAGAGCTGACACATAGTAGGCTCCTGCAACAGGCCTGGGCATCCTCTCCAAGGCTTCTGGAAGGCCACAGGCTCCATGAGCTGGACTGAGACCCGAGGGTCGGCAGGAGCACCTCTAAGCCCTGCTCTGTCCTCAGTTACAAGCTCTTAAGCCACAGGCTCCTCTCCTCTGCACCCCCCTGGGCCTCTCTTTCCCTTTTTGTACAATGGGGGTAACAATTCTGCAGGCAATGCTTTGGGTGTCCTTAGCCCCACTCTGATGACAGCTTCAGCTGGACCCCCGTGAACAGTGCGCTGTCCCTGGCACACCCCTATCTCTTTCTGCTGTACTTCCGGACCTTCTCCAAGCTGCCTCAGAGTTGGATAGAGTTTATGTTCCAGGGTGACCTTCAGCCACTGAAGGACAGGAGCTGCTGGCTCCGGGAAGCACTCTCCACACTTGTCAGGGCCCTGCTGGAATCTTCAGGAGCAACAGCCTCACTCCTCGCCCATCAGCTGGCTTTTTCTCCTTTCTTGTCTCACTCTCCTTGCTCCCTCCCTCACTCCTGCTCCAGTTACCACTGCCCAAGTAAACTGCTTCACCCAGGCCCTTGTCAGGTCCTGCTTTCCAGGAACCCCAAGACAAATGCTGCCATGCTGAAGTGTGGCTATGCAGTAAAGTCACAGATGATAGACAGTTTGGAGAGATGCTGTAAATGCTGCTTTGATAGAACTCTCAGCTGATGGGAGCACTTGGTGAATACTATGGCCAGCCTTGGCCACTGGTCTGGAGAACTTTTCCCTCATCCACCCAGAAGCAAAATTCTTCAGTGTTGATTTCTGTTTTCCATGTTCTCCAAAGCTTCCCTGCTAGCTTAACGAATTGGACCCTAAGAGTCTCTCGCTCAGACCTTCCTGTGGCGCTGACCCTCAGATCAGACTGCATACCCACCAAGGGCAGTCCCTTCAGGGTGCAGGCCTTTGCATTTAAGGAAGGGAGGAGAGGGCAGTCGGTGCCTAACCAAGGAAGGCCCACCACTGTAGTTATCACCACAGCACCCCGCCACTCTGGGGCCTGTGTCCAGCTCCATGCTTCAGCTCTGAGGCCACTGTGAGGCCAGGGCCTCTGCCTGCTTCCCTGTCTCCATCCTCTGTGCTCAGGCACACAAATGGCAAATCCTCAGGCAGGCAGGTGGTGAGAATTAACACAAACCCTGCATTTCTGGAGGAGGAAATTCAGGGACACTGTGCGCTTACTGACCTCTGTCCTTAACACCTACAATAAGCAGCCATGAAAACACTCGCAAACAAGAGTGAAACTCCCTCTGTACCAGGGGTTTTCAAACTGAGTTCTGGTAGGTACCAATGTACTATGGAGGTGCTCAGGGGCCCAGTGGGCACAGGAAGTGCGTGAGGTGATGGTGAGAGAAAGGAAAAGATGTGACTAGTGAGAACTTGAACAGGAAAATGAGGCTGGAAGCCCTTGTCACACCAGGCCCAGAGCCGCGGATGTGCAGACAAATGGTCAACTCATTCCTGGGTCTGTGGCAGGCTGAATCTCCTTGTATCTCACCTGCATGGGCACGATCCCAGGAATGCGGTCCTTGGCATCCTCGGGGATATGGGCTGTCTTCAGGTGCGGGTCCCCAGACAGCTGCTGTAGGTCAGCCCCCAGCATCTCGGCCAAGGCCCCTTCTGAGGTCACCCTTGAATAGCGGCTCTGCAGACGACTCAGTTTGGCAGCCATCTTGGCTCCCAGCTCAGGAGAGGCATAATTATCAGCTACCAGCTTCCCAGTGGTCTGCAGCACAGTGGGCACCTTGGCACGCAGGGCCACTATGTCCTGGGCTGTAGAAAGGGCCTCACTCATGGGCACAGTGATGTCCGGCTCCACCCCAGCCAGGTCCCAGGCCTTACCTGTGCTGGCACTCAGGGCCATCTGTGTGGGTATGGAAGCACACAAGGGGCTACTGCCCACCTGGTAGATGCCCACAGAAAGCGCCCCTCCAGCTGTAGGCTCCCCGATAACTGTGGCCCGCTGCAGGTCCTGCATTGTGTGAGCAAAAGCCTCAGCTGCTGACCCACTGGTGTGGCTTGTTAGGATGTAGAGGTCCTTGTGGGGGCCATAGCGCTGGCCGGCCACCTGAGGCAGGGTCCACACCTCTGTGACCCTTGAGGTGGCCCTGTCAAAGATGGAGTAGAGGTGTTGGCGGGGCTCTGCCTCAAAGAAGTAGGAACAGAGCAGTGGCACAGCAGAGGAGTAGCTGCCAGGGTTGTAGCGCAGGTCGACCACCAGTGCAGCCGTGCCCACCAGTCTCTGCCACACCAGCCACGTCAGCTGCGGCCCGAGGGCCCTCACTGTCTCCAGTTCGGCCATGGCATCGAAGCGCAGGTAGCCCAGCTGACCAGGCAGCACCTCTGTCTTGAACAGGGCCTCAGTGAGGTAGGAGATATCCTCTGGAGAAGGGACAGCTGGGGATGGTGGGGGTAACTCCTCAGCCACAAGCTCACCAGGGCTATGAAACACCAGCAGACGGTGGTCCCCAGACATCTCCTGCAGGTCGGCTGTGAGCTGAGAGGCCAGGGACTCCAGGTCCACAGCTGTGCGGTAGGCCCCCTGGGCTAGCTTGGCTCGCAGCAGGCCACTGGTCTGTCCGACCACTTCTGGCCGTGCATAGTGGGCCTCTAGTAGGTGCCCTATGCCCTCCACTAGGGCACCCAGGCTGCGGTGGAACTCTAGCAATTCCTGGGCTCTATCCAGGGCTTCCTCAGCCAGCACAATCGCGTCGGGCACCACACCACCCCCCAGCCAGCCCTCCCCATGGTTGTCAATGAAGGTGAGCACGGGCACTGTGAGTGCCAGGCTGCCCCCAGGCATCTCCAGCAGGGGCACGGTGAGGGTGTGCAGTAGGCTGCCTGCGGTGATCTCGCCCACCAGTGTGGCCCAGCCCAGCGACTGCATGAGGAAGGCCAGCTCCTCAGCAGCAGTGGCAGTGCGGTGGCTGATGAGCAGGTATACTCCACGCTGAGTGCCATAGCACCTGCCTGGCAGCTCACTGCGGCTGAAGTACTCCTGCGTGACGTTGCTGCGGCGGTCGTAGGTGGTGAAGAGGTGCACAGGGCCGGCATCGGGGCCCTGGAAGTAGGACAGCAGCAGGGGCACAGCATTAGATGGCCCCCCAGGATTCTGGCGCAGGTCCATAATGAGGTGCTCTGTGTCCTGCAGGGGCTCCCACACCTGGTTCAGGATGTATGGAGCCAGTGCACCCAGCACAGAGGCATCCACAAACCTGTCAAAGCGCAGGTAACCTACATTGCCTGGCAGCACTGACACCTGGAACACAGAGTCCACCAGGGCCCGCTGGGCATTCTCGTCCTTGGGCACTGCTGGGGCCCCCTCCAGGGGATCTTTGGTGCTAGCCTCAGGCCCAGAGGAGGTTTCTTTGGACTTCACAGTCCTCACCACAAGCCTGGGGTCCTCTGACACAGCCTGCAGACCAGCATTGAGCTTAGTGACGAGATCCTCCTCAGAGACCACTGAGGAGAAGTCCATGCTGGCCAGGTGGTGCAGCAGGGTGGGCACACAGTCCACTTGTGTGTAGTAGTCCTGCAGGGCCTCCTGCAGGCACTGGATGACTCCCGGAAGGGCACGGCGCAGAGTGAGGATGGCCAGGGCTTGCTCTAGGGCCTGCTCCGCAGTTGTTCCCACACAGGGCAGCACCCCACTGCCCTCCCATGTCTGGTCGCCCCAGCCCAGGGTGCCTAGGGACCTGGACACGGGCACAGTGAGGAAGAAGTCGGACTGGCCTATCCTCAGCTTCTGGAGGTCCAGGGCACCCCCCACAGTACGTTCACCCACCACGATGGCCCTGCGCATCTGTTTGAGGATGTAAGTGATGTCCTCAGCCACACCCCCAGTGTGGCTGCTGGTGAGGACCACCACATCCTTGTCAGGACTGTACCTCCCTCCCAGAACCTGGGGCAGGGTCCAGATCTCAGTGGTCGTATTGGAGGGGCGGTTGTAGATGGTATCCACATGCAGGACTGTGTTCCCTGGGTGCAGGTAGGAGATGACATAGGGGATGCCAGAAACATGGCCCCTAGTGCAGTGCCGGAGGTCCAGCACCAAGGCAGAGGTGCCCATGAGCTTCTGCCAGATGGTGGCCACCAGGTAGCCCCCCAGCTTGCTCAGCACCTCCTCGCCTGGGATGTTGTCCACACGCAGGTAGCCCACATTGCCTTCCAGAACCTCATGGTGGATGCCTTTCTGCAGCTGGGCAAAAAGTTCCTCTTGTGTCAGATCGGTGATTTCTGCAGCTTTCCAGGGAGCCGTAAGTGTGCTGGGCTCATAGGAGATGACCAGGCGAGGGTCGTTCAAGGAGCTCTGCACCCCAGCTGTCAGCACATAGGCCAAAGTCTGAGGGTCTGAGATGGCTAGAATCTCACGACTCTTGATGGCCTGCTCAATGGCTTCTTGCATCCCCATCAGGTTCTCTGGGAAACAGTAGTTATCCAAGAGGACCTTGGCCATGTCCAGCACCAGCCTCGGCTGAAACAGGTGTGTGGGGCCAGCCAGGCCGCAGAGCACTGTCAACATGAGCAGGGCCCATTCTCTCATCATGGAGATCCAGAAGGGCGGCTGGCTTCTACACAAAAGCTCTCTTGACTGTGTGCAGGGCTGCGGCATTGCCCTGTCCCGCTGCCTCCCTCCTTTGTCCTCCTCAGTGGGCAGACAGAAGGTCTGGAGCTAAAGGCTGCAGTTGGGGTGTGGTTTCCAGCTCTGATAAGCCTTTAATCCTGTTTAATTCAAGTGCATCAGCCCTGTGGATTGGGGAGAAGGGGCTGAAATGGTTTGACCCAGAAGGTATGCTGGACCTCATCTTTCTGTACCACCTTTGTATATAATAACGTGAATACCTGATGCCGGGGTTCTTGTTCACAGAGTCAAAGAATGAACTTCACAAACACTCAAGGTAGGCGAGCAAGGCAGAGGCTTTTATTTAGACATAAAGAGGAAAAAATTCCTGGCTCACACCAGGAGGGGACAAGAGAGCCAGGGTGGTGCATTGTCTAGGGGATTTATAGGTGGTTGACAGACAAAGGGCTAGGGATGCACACCTGCTAAGTAGTCCCAAAATGTTTATCTTTGAAGAGACATTAAGTTTCTTATTAGTCTTCTGGGTTATTTATAAGAAATTTACTGCTCTGATTTCCTCCTAGGATGGCAGCTTCCTGGTCTGGGAGGGTATCAATCAAGACTGCCTGCTTTGCTCCCAAGGTGGGCTGAGTTATTGTCTGTTTCATAAAGAGCATGTTAAGAAATTTACATTTTAACTAATTGGGTTTTAAAATACCATCTTATCTTCAAGATGGAATCCTTCCTGTTTTTACTAGTTGTTTTGGGCTTGCTTGCTAAATTGCCCAGGTTGCAAATCACTTGACTAGGGCTGGAGGAAGAAAAGCAGCACCTGGGTAAAGTAAAAAAAATAAGCCGTGGGTGGGGGGTGTGGAGGGGATGGTGGCCCGGTGGGGGCCCCAGCAGGCTAAAGCAAATCCTACAATAGATTATCTTGCTTTGTTTTTTTTTCCGTAGACCCTCACCCAACTCTGTCTAAGCCCACGGTCCCTGTTATTTTAAATTTCTGACACATGCCAGGCATTGTGCTCCATGCTTTTCAAGAGTGTCTTCACCAAAGCCTTGCAAAGTAGAGTTATTAACCTGCAGGTAAACAGCATTTCCTCACTACACTGGGTGATCTCTGCCTCTGGACTTAGGTAGAACTCACTGGAGGCTGGGTTCTACTACTCTCTAGTCTGTGGCCTGAGGGAAGCATCTTTTACTTCTTATTATGTAAATTAAGTGAAAAAATATATGTAAAGCACTGAAACAGTATCAGCAAGAAAGAAGCACTCAATTACTAATAAGTTCTGCATGTTAGATATTATCTCCATTTTATAGTTTAAGAAATAGAGGTTGGTAGCTAACTGAAGCCCACGATCCTAGGTGGGGGATGTGGGGACATTGCAAAGAAGCGTGTGGGGCCAAAGTTGGTTTGGACAGTACAGAGGCTGAGTCTGAGGGGGCCATCAACTCCAGGGCTTGAACTCTATTCCTGTGTCTTGCTAAATCATCTAGAAAATGAGTGGTGCCCACAACAGCTTCCATATGATAGGAATGAAATGTCTGGACCTCAGCACTGAATGTGGTGAATAGGAGGGATACCCACCTTCCAGACACCATAGGACAGTGATTCCAGGTTAGATGAAATTAGCTCTAAGATGAACACGGTGCCTGCCAACTTAGGGCATGGTCCACAGTGCATTGCTTGCAGGGAGAACTGAATTGTTCGATCTGGTCTCTGTGGCCCCAGGCCTCACAAATATCTCATTCATTTCCACCACCTGCATGGAGCACACAGCCAGTCCTAGATGAACCTCTGGACTCTCGGACTCCTAGCTCCTGCTCCTTCACAGGGGTGCATCATAGCTCCTGCTTGCAACTGACTTGCCACAGATATCCAAAATTCCTGCATAGAGCCTAGAACCCCTGCTTTGGTTCCACATTTCTCTGGGGGTAGGCATTTCTCTCATTTATTGGGCAACTATGGCTCAGTGCATGGTTCATCACCAAGGACAAGAGCTGGGAGAGCGTCTGGCTCGATTCTCCTCAGTCTGCCCTGTTATTGCCTGCACACACTTCCTGGGCTGTGCTGGCCGCAGGCTGGTGCACACATGAGCCTCAGCAGGCAGCTGGGGGACGGTCTTGGGGACAGGGGAGCTTTCTCCGCATGATAGAGAGCCACAGTCTGCTCTCTGGAAATCATTATCTGAGGATGTTTACTAAGTGGTTTATGAAGGCCAAAGAGGTCAGTTAGCTAAAACAAACATATTTTTAGCTCATTAGGATTTGTTTAATGCCCAAGTGACATATGGTCACATCATGCCATTGTTTGTAGCCAATGAAATGAGCCTGATTTATTATAATAAGACCTCCTTAGTTTGTTTGGGGAAGACTGGGCCTTCTGCCCCGTCTCCACTTGGGGAATAACAACTCAGAGCATGCCATCCTGGTCCTCCAAGGGCATGTTTCTGTCATCACTTGAGCCCAGGAAAAGCCTGTGGACCAGGAAGAGTAGGGTGTAAAGAGGGCCAGGAATAAATCTCTCTACAAGGAAAGTGCTTCCCTGGACTTCCATTAAAATAAAGTCTCAGGATGGGATGCCTAGAGCTGTTGCTGGGCCTTGATTTGTGTGATGGCTCAGAGCCTCACAGGAGACAGAGGAAAAAGAATTGGGGTCTGTTGCAAATCAGCAGGGTTCCTAAGTTAGTGTCTGCAAGGAAAGGTGACATGCTCTCCTGTGGCGTGGCCTGAGGCCAGGGGGAAGAAATTCTGCCCCCAGAATTCTCCAAATTCTAGCCACCAGTTAAGGGGGAACATAAGCAGCTGCAGCAGCTAAGGAGAGCATGTTCTTGGCAAGTCCCATAGTGAGAAAGTGTGAACCAGGAGGAGTGCTCCCTCTTCCTGCCTAGTCCCTGCTAGCTGTCCGCCCAGGCGGTTGCCATTGCGATTTGGGGGATCAAGTTTTGGAGTTGGGATGGAATCAGAAGCCCTGGCCTCCCTCTCAATTGTACAACAGCCATCCGGGCAGATGTGTCAAGTATGTGGGCTTAGTAGCCCCCTCTCCCCACAAAATCCTACAGTTTTCCAGGATAGAGACTTTGATTAGGTGCTTATCTGTGTCTTGGCTTCCTCAAAAGGGAATCCGGATAAGGAGAAAAGCCTCAGTATTGTAACAGTGTCAGTGGGTACAACAAAGAAGCTGAAGATGCAGGAGGAGTTGGTGAATGGCAGCCTGTGATCAGAACTCTGTAGGGGTGGGCAGAGATACTCTAATAGGCAGTGGTTATCCTCAGGACCCTGGGGTACCAAGTGCTTCTGAGGCCCAAACCTTCCACAGGCCTCTGTGTATCTGGAGAGTCTGCACACCTGAGATATGCCCAGAATTGGTGTTCACTCCAGAACAAACCTTGTAATGACCCAGGCACCAGATTAAAAGGGAGACAAAGCACAGAAGGTGTGCTGTGGGCTGGCTAAATGGGACACGCCTGGGCCCTGGGCAATCCAGGAAGAAGCAAATCACCTATTACATTACAGATTCACTTTTTGAAGTGGCCAGAGACTTTATCTGTCTATTTTTCCACCCACCCATCCCCCCACCCATCCATGCATTTACCTATCTATTGTTTTATGCTATTTTCCCCCTCAATGACATTGTCAGGTGGTACTGCAGATATTCAGGTACTAGCTACCTAGATTCTACCACTGACATTTTATTACCCGCCCCTCCTCTATTTTTTTATCTCACCTCTGTCTCCCCAGCTCCCTCTCTAACCCTCAAGCCAACATATTTTTTTGGATACATTTGAAAGCAAGTTGAATCTTGTCTTTATTTTACTTTAATTCTTTTTCTTTTTACTTAAATAAAAAAGAGTAAAGCATACTCATTTTTACAAGTTAAATAATTCATGAATGTGTGACTAGTCTTCTTCAAAAGCCTTTTTAATCTCCCAGACAATAATAATGGTTTGATGTGTACCTGTTCTCACATTTCTGTGTTCATAAATGGAAGCACATGTGTAGGAGATCTATTGTCTATCGGTGGATGTCCATCCATCCATCCATCCATGTAGTGCCATCTCATAGTTGTATATACAATTGTTTGCATTTTGTTTTACTCAAACATATACCAGAAGTAACCTTTCAAGCTAAAGCATATACATTGGGTTCATGTTTTTAATGGCTGCATAACAGTCCTTGATAATTTACTGACTTTTTACCCTAGTGAGAGATATTTTGTTTCTGTTTTTGCTTCTACAAACAATATTGTGATAAATGTTAAGACAGGTGCTTCTTGTTTCTGTGGAATAAATTCCCAAACCTGACTGAATCAAAGAGTATGTACACTTGTTTTTTTGTTTTCTTTCTCATATTTTCAGTAACTTTTAAATTATGTAATAAATGTGTATTTGGGGGGTTATTTTGCAACTTAATTGATGTGTAATTGACATGCAACAAATAGCCCATATTTGAAGTGTACAATTTGGTGAGTTTTGACATGTTTATGCACCCTTGAAACTATCACCATAATCAAGATTATGTATATTTCCCTCACCCCTCAAATTTTCCTCATGCTTTGTTATCTAATCCCCCTTGATTCTCCATCTCCAAACACTGATAGGCTTTCAGTTATCACTATAGTTTCTATTTTCTAGAATTTTGTATAAATAGAATTATATCACATGTATTGTTTTTTGTCTGTCACTCAGCATGTTGATTTTGAGATTCACCTATGTTGTTGAGTGTACATTATTTATTTCATTGCTGAGTAATATTCCATTATATAGATAGATCACAAATTGTTGTGCACTCATGTACTTATAGTCCTATGGGTTGCTTCCAGAATATAACTATTGCAAATAAAGCTACTGTATTATTGGAGACTAAGTCTCTGTGTGGATGTATATATTTTTATTTGCTAGGATGGGAATGTATATTTAATGTTTTAAGAAACAATCTGTTTTCCAAAATTTAAATTTCTGCCAGCAATATATGAGACTTACAATTTCTCCATATTAATTCCAATAATTGGTATGTATGATCAGACTTTTTAATTTTAGCCATTGTAATGTGTAGATAGTGCCTTTCCATTGTGATTTTAATTGATGACTAGTAGTGTTAAACATCTTTTTGTACATTTCATTTATGTGTATTCTGTGGTGAAATGTCTGTTGAAATCTTTTGCCCATTTGTTGGGGCTGGGAGGAGGAAGGCTGTTGCTTGTCTTATTATTGATCAAGTAAATTATTTTTATATTCCTCATATGCCTGATAAAAATGTTGCAAATATTTTT